GGCTCGTGATTTACGAATTCTTCTCGTGTTCTTCCAACATCCCGCGTGGTTTATCAGCTTGTAAAGCATAACAGCTTGTGGTCTATTGCTTAATGATAATATCAATTAAGGGGAAAAAAGACATGTAAATAATGTAAGAAGAATATTGTAATTTTGTAAGTAACCAGTATTGTAAATACCGTAAGTAATGTATGTAATTAGCCGTAAGTGATATAGTGTATTGTTATTAGTGTAAGTAAGCAGTATTGTAAGTAATGTATTGTATTTATTGTACTGTTGAGTATTGTATTATCATTAAAAAACAATTATTTCTATTGAAAAAAATACGGGTCTAAAACCCTTTCTTGGATCCATCACTGATTAAAGATGCTAGACTTCTAGTCTGAACAGCTCTGTTTAAAAAGAAATTTGTTTTTTAAGCGAGTGTGTCGCTTATAAATTCTGGATTTACGAAGGTGAAGTTCTTGAAATGTTCTTCCAAGTTTAACGTGTTCTCTTCGTACAGCAGAGAAAGGACTGGGTCCTCGCTTGTATAGAAGCTGTCAAAATTTTGAACATCTGCTCTTGACTGCTGCGAAGAAAACCAGTAAAACAGGATTGATGACAAAGATGATTGAGGTTGAATTTTCAGATTGAAAAGTTCTGATTTTAAGCTATGTTAACTTGTAACAAATAAGGAAAAAGCCGGAGTAGATAAATAAATAAATAAATAAATAAATAAATAAATAAATAAAAAAGATGAATAATTAATTATGACACAAGATACAGTACGTTATAGCATTTTTCTTACTATTGTGGGCTTGAAAGGAGGTTCTATCTGTCTCGCCTCTAACTTGACCCAGTCCATCTCTCTGAAGAATGCATTATCCAGAACGCTTTGCTCCCCGCTGGCTGTGCAGCCGAGCCTTTCATTACAGTCCTTTGTCAGAAACTGCAAATCAGTGAAATAAAGATAAGCATCTGCTTGAATTAAATTACTTTGATATCGTCCTGAGGATAGAAAACTTTTAAAGCCTTATAAGAAAAAGAAAGAAACACGCCTTAAATATCTTCCAATTCGAGACGGTACGAGGTCACATGAAGCGGTAAGATGATACACGAGGCGGTACGAGGTCACATGAAGCGGCACAGGGTATCGAATAGTCTTTGCGAGCATGCGAGCAGTGCGTTCATTTTTGCGAGCACGAGCAGTGATCAAATTTGTCTTGCGAGCAGCGAGCACTTCAGAAAATGCAGATGGTGAGCAGCGAGCACTCAATTTTCCGCTAGCTAGAATCTCTCTTTTGAATTAAATGGAAAAGTTGGTTTGTGCCAAGTAATCTGGCTGACACTTCCAAAACAGCACATGATAGGCACAAAGCTAAAGGCAGCATGCTAGGATCTTATCGCGGCTCAACCAATCTCAGCCGCTTACTGCGCTGAACAGCCAGTCTGCCTTGTTTGATGCCAAATTACGTCACTTAGCTTCACGTGAGTCAGTGGAGATCTAAAGCCCGTTTCTAGCCACGAGAAGAAGCTAACTGCTACTAGACTTCAGAATCCGAGCATGTCAGCAGTTGCAAAAATTTTACGAGCACGAGCAAGCGAGCACTCATCTAATTTTTGCAAGCAATTTAAGCAAAGGTCCACTTTTGCGAGCTCTTTTAAATTGAATGGGACCATTCGATATTGATACGCGAGGCGGTGCGATTATACACGAGGCGGTACGAGGTCACGTTTAGCGGCACTATGATACGCGAGGCGGTACGATGATACACGGGGCGGAACGATCATACACGAGGCGGTACGATCATACACGAGCCGGTACGAGGTCACATGAAGCGGCACTATGATACGCGAGGAGGTACGATGATACACGGGGGTACGATAATACACGAAGTGGTACGAGGATACACGAGGCGGTACGAGGTCACATGAAGGGGCGGAGCGATCTGCGAGGCGGTACGATGATACACTATGATCCGCGAGGCGGTACGATGATACACGAGGCGGTACGATGATACAC